AGAGAGAGAGAGACAGAGAGAGAGAGACAGAGAGAGACAGAGAGAGAGACAGAATGTGCTTGTGGAGGCCAGAAGTCAACACTGGGCATTTTCAATCATTTCTCCACCTTAAGCATGTGTCTCCAAGTGTGGTGCACACACATAAGTGTGTGTTGGGCTTCCAGCTCTGTCACTCCCTTATTCTCCTGAGATGGGATCTCTCTCAGAGTGTGAAGTTTGCTGGCTCTTTGCCTAGGCTGCCTGGCTAGCTAGCAAGCTCCTGTGTTTGCCCTGTCTCTGTTCTTCATACCACTGGGATCACAGATGCACACAGTCACATCTAGCTTTTTACAGGGAGCTGGGGATTACATTTAGGTCCTCTTGCTTACACAGCAAGTGTTCTTACCCACTGAGTCATCACTTTAGCCGCCTTATCTTTTTGAAACTGTATTCCTCATTGAACCTGGGGCTCATGGGCTAAACTGGCTAGCCAGTAAGCCCCTCAGGTCCTCTTGTCTTTGTCTACCCAAGGCTGGCTTTACAAGTCTGTACTGTCATGCCTGCTTTTTATGTGAGTGCTGGAGAGTCTCTTACACAGAAAGCTCACTGACTGATCCATTGCCATGGCCCCAAATTCTTTTTTTTTAATCAATTCTAACTTTGTGTAGTATTGACTAGACCCTATTCTGTCATACAATAATCCCAACATTCCTAGCATCTGGGAGGCAGAGGCAGGCAATGCCCTTGGCCACTTGGGCATGGGGACACCTATAGAGCTTTGCTTCCCAAACATAGAACGAACCACAAGTCAAGAACACAAGACACACCTGGTAATGATCCTCTATGTGACCAAGAAGTCACCAAAAACACCAACAAGCTTCAGAAAGAACTTACAGAGTAAGCAAAGCCACACGTTGGCATAAAGCCAAAGGAGACAACAGGAGACAAACACTTGGCACTTCTGAAATTCTCCAATGCTACTGAATAAATTGTAAATGATCTCAAAAAAACATAATGCCCTGAAAACCCCAGGAGTGAGAAATAAGATGACGAGTCCCCTGGTAAAGAAGATGTCGGTCAGGAGACACGCTGAGGATGAATCCTGGAGGAAATGGGCGGGACACACATGGCCCTTCTTCACCCCTTGTGATGGGACAGGACTGTGAATATTGAAGGAGACCCAAGATGCTGGACTTGAGAACACGCTCACCACTGAAAGAGAAACGAAGAAAGAAAAAGGAAACTGGTGTGACTGTCACTGTGTAGCTGGAATCATTCTTCCTCTTTTTCCTTATTACTTTCAAAATACACAAACCGGTTTCACTTTCAAGGTGTGTGGGTGTTTAGGAGGAAATAAACTTAACTGTGAAGGGCATCTCTGTGGATGAGACACTGGTACCCTCAGCCATCCCTTAGCCCCTCACCACCAGAAACTTTCCCCCACAGGCCGGAAGCCCCTTCATACAAACAAAGACCTTGATAGCCCTGCCTGAGAGAGGCAGCCAGATAAGAGAAAAAGGCAACAGAAACTTGGACTGCAGTCTCAGGGACAGGGGCAAGGGTATAGAGGACATGAGGTCATGGTCACTGGGATTTCTCTCCCATGTGAAATGTGATGGCACGGGGGTCTCTGGAGAACCGGGAGGAGTTCTGCCCAGCCTCAGAGTCCCATGCAGCAGCTGGGTTCCACACTCGCATGGTACTGTCTTTCCTGAGGCTGTAAGCTTTTGTTTTTATCTGACAACTTATGGTAACTTACTGCTTTGAAACAGCACAGAAGACATTGTTCTCCATGGTCAGCTCTGTAGTCTGAGCTGCTGGCCATTCTTCCAGGCCCAGCGTGTCTTCTCACTTCCTGAATGCCTGTGAAGTTCTAGATGTTCTGCCTGTGGAACAACTGGGCCCCATATCAGGTCGATCTGGTCCCTCCTGCTCTTCCCCACAGTGGCAGGCTCCCAGAGTTGCAGTCAGCTTATTTTTCTTCCTTTTTCTTTCTGTATTTGGGCAGAGGGTAAGGCAGGGAGGTACCACATTCCACTACCCACCACTAACACTTTCTTTGAGGCTTGGTCACCATGTGTCTGGAGACTGTTGGGCCTTTTCATAGTGTCCAAAGATCTCTCTTCGTCCCTGTGCCAGCATGCCAAGTTAAGGCCTGACGTGCAAAAGGATACCTGCTGCCTAGCCCCTCCAGGGATCTTTACCCATAGAGCAAACATCTTAAGGTTCTCCCACTGGATCAACAGAAGGCCACAGATACCCAACAGAGTCACTGTGGGGCCTCAGGTCCTGCCCTAGTGTCCACTGTACTCACGTGGGCATAGACTTTATAAATGTCTCGCCATGGCTCACAAAGTCACTCGAAATGTAAACCAACCCTCTTCAGGATCTCCTACACCACGAGTATATGGTCCGCAGGGTCCCTCATTGCATCTATGGCCACACACTCCTCCTTCCACTGTCTACAAGAAAACTCAATAGTGTGGGGACTGAGCTGACCCCACAGCCCTACTAAGCCACGAGGACGCTGGAGCTGAGCATGGAGCTGGCTTAAGATCGGGCTGACGGCAGCCCTTACTTCCCATATCAGTGGCAGACGGCAGTCTCTGCTTCTCACTTTGAGGCTTCTCAAATGTAATCCTTGCTACAAAAACTCTTTGCAAGGAGCAGTCGTCAAATGCCTCAATCTCCTTGAATCAGGGACATATTTCAGGTGGGGCCAGGGTGTCCTCCAGGGTTTGTCTACAAGGCTTAGGATCCTGGTGCAGATTGGCAGAGCAAGCTCTCTGTTCTGGCGTTTTACAGTGGGGCTGATGAAGGATGTCACTGCTGCCCACTCTATCTTACCCCTACATTTTGTTCCTGTCATACACCCCAAGGGTGACCAGCTGTCTTCCATAGCTCAACCCGAAGGCACATTCTGTCCTGACCCCTGAAGGGAAGCAAACCCACACACTCCCAAAAAAGCAGCCCCTGAACCCTGAATCAAACACCAGCTCCAGCCAGGGATTTCCTAGAAAAAGCCCAGACCCTCCTCCTGTGTTCCTGAGATGCAGTTAATGAAGCTAATATGAGGCTTCTAATCAAAGAATATGCATGACAGCATCAATAAGAAACTCATGCCAGCCGGGCGGTGGTGGCGCACGCCTTTAATCCCAGCACTTGGGAGGCAGAGGCAGGCGGATTTCTGAGTTCGAGAGTTCGAGGCTAGCCTGGTCTACAGAGTGAGTTCCAGGACAGCCAGGACTACACAGAGAAACCCTGTCTCGAAAAACCAAACCAAACCAAAAAAAAAAAAAAAAAAAGAAACTCATGCCACTGTTAACTCGGAGAAGTTCCTGATACTTGAGTGCTTGCCAAGGAGCAGAACAGGCTGATTCATCTGGTCTCTCACTCCAGGCTTTCAGTTTCCCACTGGCTCGGAGAAGTTCAGTTATCCAGGGGCAGCAGTGGCGGTAACATTGGAGAGCTTGCGGCAGACAGAACAGGTGAGAGGCTGGGGTGTGCAGGAAGCAAGGACTCGAGGGCACCCAGATACTCTGAGGGTTGAGGATTCTGTGGGGTGGGAATGTCTGTCTCAGATAAGGGATCAGCAAAAGCAGAGCTGGGCCATCAGCCAAGCGATTGGGATTCAGGAAACACAGGAGACAGAGTCAGTGGACAGCACTCAGCAGGACCTGTGTGTTTCAGGTGCCTCAGGCATGGCTCTGGAGGGGTAGAGGCATAGTTCTTCATCATTCACGGAGTGGGACAAGTAGCATGGAGTCCTCCTCTCTGCCTTCTCAACATGAGTGTAGAGGACTTGAAGGAAGGGAGGACCAACAGGATGTTCCAGGCCTGTGAATGACAAAAATGTACTCGTCTGGCAGCACAGGGTCCTGCAGCATCTCATCACCCACAGCTGTGCACGCACACCTTCATGTAGGACCCTGAGCCTTTGTCCTCTCTCGTACCCACATCCTGAACACTCACACATGCCCACAAGCACCCACAGCACACACATATACACACAAGCATACATATGCAAGCACACACACAAGCACACATACACAAATACACATATGCACACATACACAATCGTATACACAAATGCACACACATCCACACATCCACATGCACACACGTCCACACTTACACATGCACACATACACACACATATACACTTATACATGCACACATCCACATGCACACACACACATACATCCACACTTACACTTGTACACTTACATAGGCACACATACACATGTACACACACACATACACATGCCTCAGGCCAGGCACCAGAGTGCTCAGTGGCTCCTTCCCAGTCTCCTTTCATTTTTTTCCTTTGAGGACATTACTCTCTCAAGATACCTCCTGCCTTCAAGTTGATATCTGCTTGGATATAAGAGTTGTAGCTGCCAGGCGGTGGTGGCGCACACCTTTAATCCCAGCACTTGGGAGGCAGAGGCAGGCAGATTTCTGAGTTTGAGGCCAGCCTGGTCTACAGAGTGAGTTCCAGGACAGCCAGGGCTATACAGAGAAACCCTGTCTCGAAAAAAACAACAACAAAAAATTGTAGCCAAGAAGCCAGGGCTGAGTCTGATTCCCATGGGCAGCTATGATGTGTCTCTGGAAAATAAGGCCCTGAAAGGTCTTGGGTCCTAGCATGGAGGGAAATATCTGCTTCCAGCAAAGGTAGAGGCCCTATCTTTTTTGGTTTTTTTTTTTTTTTGAGACAGGGTTTCTCTGTGTAGTCCTGGCTGTCCTGGAACTCACTCTGTAGACCAGGCTGGCCTCGAACTTGGAAATCCACCTGCCTCTGCCTCCCAAGTGCTGGGATTAAAGGCGTGTACCACCACCGCCCGGCTAGAGACCCTATCTTAAGCAAAACAATTACTGTGTGTCAGCTACCCTTCCTACCCACATGCTAGGACATAAACTTCATGGGGCTTGGCACAGAGAGGACACGCACAGCCGGCCACTAACATGAAGGAAATGCTGGCTGCCATCCTTCAGGCAGCATCTGAGCCAGGGTCCACTGTGCCTCTGACTGAGCTGGGTGCTATGCTGTAGAAGGCCAGAGATGACCACCAGCCTCTAACCTCATGTCCCAGAGGCTCCACTGGGTCTGTGACACTGCTGAGCTCTGACTTCTCCCAAGGAACTGGAACAGGATCGGTGGCCATTGGTGGGAGGGTTTCCAGTCAATGGTTGGCCCTTGGGGTTATGTCCTTACATACTTTTATGTAGGAGAGATCTCAGTCTACCATCTTGTGCCTAGGTTGGGGAGCTGAGGTAGAGCCCTGTGTCTGAAAGGACAACTTCAGGCAGTGAAGAAAGAGCCTGTGGGCCAGGAGATAGAAGTCTGCCGATTGTCAAGAACAAAGGTGGTGTCTCTGAGGCCAAGAATTCTTTAGTGGTCTCCAAAAGAGACCCGGAAAAACTTAGGCCACCACAAGACAGACCTCTGTGACAAGACAGTGGCCTTGACCAGCCTGGGAGGTGGCTTTAGATGACTTGCCAAGGCTCCAGGGCACACTCCACAATGGTGCTGAGTCTGCGTGATGTATTTTATGTACCATGAGACACCTACAGTCAAAGGAACCAGGTGATGTCCCCTGCCCCACTGCCAACTCTAGCCCTGAGGTGTTGTCCACTGAAGAGGAGACATGGGGGAAACAAGACCCAGAAGTGGCTGCGTCTTCCTCTGGACAGAGAGGTGAAACAGATTGAGGTTAAGATGAGATTCAGCCATACACATAGCCCAGTTTGGGGTGGGCGAGCATCCCAGATAGGGACCACTCTTTAGTGGCTACAGTTTTGAGAGCAGAAGGGATCCTGAGGCCCCGGCAAAGCCATCAGCTAGAAAGTTGTGTCCTCTCGAAAAACCTAAAAAAAAAAAAAAAAAAAGTTGTGTCCTGGCAGAAACGTTCAAATTGGAGAAAGAAGTGTTTTGTGACACTGTCTCAGGGAAAGTATTAGGGGGATCTCATCAGAGACGGAAAGCCCCCTCAAGAGTTGCCACACCTTTTTAGGTGTTTCCACTCATGCAGGTTTTTCCAGAATTCTGGAGAACTGGTTCTGTGGATCCTGGTGATGGGCAGGGATGGGAAGCAGTAAAAAGCTGAGTTTGTAGGTGAGGAATAGTTTCTGGGAAACTCCTGGTTCTAAGGAAAGAAGTTGTAGAGTTAGGACACAGTTCTGGCTGGGAAACAGATCTAGAGGAAGATAAGAACCAAGGAGGGGAGATTGTTTGGCCAGGTGCTGAGTTAGGTGTCAAAGCTGCTTGCTGAAACTTGTAAGATAAAAGTGGATGCCCAAGGCGAGGCCACAGGTGCTTGGTGTTAGGACTGGAGGTGTATGTGTGTGTGTGTTGGGGAACAGCCAGTCCTGCTTACCCAGTGTAATGGCTGCACATAATGGACTCTCATACTCAAAGTTTCAATTTGACTTCTGGGCAGATTTGAGAACTTGGCAAAAAAGAGTCCTGTGTGTGTGCACAAGTGCACATATGCATGTGTAAGAGAGCACATGTGTGGGTGGATGCATGTACACACTTGGGGGAAGATGTTGCTCCTCAGACACTGTCCACATTGCATTTTTGAGACATGCTTTCTCTTATTGAAGCTTACCGAGTAGGCTAGGCTGGCTACTTCCTATTTCCACTTCCAGTGTCAAGAGTATAAATATGCACTACCACATCTTTTTTTTAAGTTAAAATATTTTAATCTTACCTGTATCAATGTACAGAGAGAATATCTTATATATTGTATGGATCCCTCACCTGCCAATTCAAAAAAACTATGACCTACAGGAAATGGTAGAATAGGCTGGGGACGTCCGGGAGACAGAAAGAATTCTGGGATAGAGTCAGGGGGGAGATCCACCTAGGAAGACATGAGGAGATAGATGCATGGTACCTGAGCACAGGTAACGAGCCATGCGGCAGAATGTAGGTTAAAATAAAATTATTTTCATGATGATCTAGTCAGAGAAGAGCCTAGCTATATAGCCAAGGTATCTGTAAATATATTTTGAGTCTGAGTCTTATTTCTGAAAGTATGGGGCCAGAAGGAAGAACTGGGGCTAACTCCTACATGGATGTTTGCCCAAATTTATGTCTGGATATATATTATGCACTTGGGGGCCTGGTGCCCTTGGAGGCCAGGACAGTCCATTGGATCCCCTGGGACTAAAATTACAGACTACTGTAAATCGGCATGTGCATGCTGGAAATCAAACCTGGATCCTCTGGAAGAGCAACATGTGTTCTTAACTGATGAGCCACCCCTCCAGCCCTCATACCTGACTTTTTGTTGTTTTATTTTTGGAGACAGGGTCTCTCTGTCCTGGAACTGCCTTTGTAGACTAGGCTGCCCTCAAACTCAGTGATTCACCTGCCTCTGCCTCCAGAGTGCTGGAATTAAAGGTGTGTGCCACCATGCCTGGCTAATACCTGACTTTGTGTGTGTGTGTGTGTGTGTGTGAATTCAAGACAGAGTTTCTCTGTGTAGCCCGGCAGTCCTGGAACTCACTCTGTAGACCAGGCTGGCCTTGAACTCACCATACCTGATTTTATAATGTAGGTTACAAGTGTCAAGCTCAGATTCTCTTGCTTAGCACTTTACCAGCTAAGCTATCTCTTCAGCCACTGGTAAACATTTTAAAACTAAAACTTGAAGCTTTGAAAGAAAAGAAAAAAAAAACAAAGTATCAGTGTATAGAGCTTTCTAAGGAAAAGAGATGAGAGAGAGGAGTAACCAAAAAAAGGAATTAGCCTTGGGTAAGGCAGAGAATGTTCTTTTCTAAACACAAATGTTTCATAAACCACTCGGGAGTCAGATAAGCCCGTGAGAAACTGGCAAGGCTTGTGTCTCTGTCTTGCTCTTTTCTTGCTTTTTCTTTGGGGAAGGGGCGGGGAGAAACTTGGTAGTAGTGAGACAGAGTCTCAGTCTGTACCTCAGGCTGGCCTCAAGCTCACAGAAATCTTCCTGCCTCAGCATCCCAGTGTTGGAATAACTGTGACCAGCTTGTCTCATGCTTTTCTGTTTCAGGTTGTTTTTGAAGGAACGTATGAGAAATGTAGTGATTTAAGCAAGCTGCCCTTCTTGCAACAATAAATTAGAAATAAAAAGGCCCCAGAGTGGTAGCAAAGACCTCTAATCCCAACATTTAGGAGAGCTTCAAGTTCAAGGTCAGCCTGGGATATATTGAAAGACCCTGTCTCTAAGTTAAAAAAGAAAACCAAATTGTTTTTGTTTTTTTTGAGACAGAGTTTCATGTGTCCTAGATTGGCTTTGACTTCATTACGCAATGGGGACTGACCTTGATCTTCCAATCTTCATCCTTCTACCTCCCAAGAGCTAAGATTACAGGCCTGCAATAGCAGGCTGTGTAAAAGTAAATTTTATTCACCTGATGTAATCGTCACCTCAAAGGCTTACTGCTGAATAGGTTTTCTTAGCTCTTTCTGAACTCTGGCTGGCTGGTTCAACTTGGATGTACTGGCTCAGACTTCTCTCCACACTAGCTGATTCAAAGTGGCTTCACTCAGCTTCTGATTTAATTGCTCTTCCTGGTCTCAAACGAACTCTAGCAATCTGTTCTAATCTTCTGACTCCTTCTAATTTTCTGGGTTGTTCTGTCTTCACCTGTGTCTAGCTTGTTCTCTCTGCAACCTGTCTGTAAAACTGTCCTGGTAAAACTGCCTCTGAACTTCACAAACTGAACCACTATGAACTCAACTCCCCTGCACCACCTCTCTGCCATCTCAACCAAACTGACTGACTAGAACTCAGAGATCTGCCTGCATCTGTCTCCTGGGATTAAAGGTGTGTCTGTATTCCAGCCAGATCACACAGACCTAGAAGGTCTTTGAATGTGATCCCTTGTCAGAGCAGCCATGTTGGTGGATTATAATTCCTCTACATGCTTGTCTGAAAAAAGTTTTAAAAATAAGATTAAAAATAACACCTACTGTCCAAAACTCAGAGATACTCCGATCACAGTCCTGGAACCACATAACACAGACCCAACTTCAAGGTGATACCTGTCACCCTGGAACAGCTTGGAGCATGGATGCTGGAGGGGGATCCATCCCCCTTTCCTGGCCCAGTCTGTTCCCAGGAAGTTGAAGACAGGTTGCAGCTGAAGTCACAGCAATGTGAATGAGGGTGGAGGTGTAGATTGAGCACAGAGTAGGGCAGAAACTAGAGACTTTGGATTTCCATTCACATAACCCAAGACTGGGTGCTGCACCTCTGGATGGGTTTTATAAACTAAGAAGGAACCCTGTGTTGACTATGGGTACTGGGTACTGAAGGTATATCCTGTAAGTCTATTACTGTGGCTGAGTGCATGCAAACTGATGTAAGATATAGGAGCTGGGGATGGTGGAAAATACATTTTATCCCAGCATTCCGGAGGCAGAAGTAAGTGTATCTCTGCCTTGAGATCAGGATAGGCTACAAAGTAAGTTCCAAGCCGGCCAGAGTGTCATGAAAGAAAGAAAGAAAGAAAGAAAGAAAGAAAGAAAGAAAGAAAGAAAGAAAGAAAGAAAAGAAAGGAAGAAAGAAAAGGAAGAAGGAAGAGAAAGAAAAGGAAGAAAGAAAGAGAAAAGAAAGAAGTCAGCAACAAGAAAAATTCAATGTTGAGTCAGATTGGGGTATATAGAAATCCTTCATGCTTTATGGTCAGTATTTCTTTCTATGAATCACTCAGGTGTGGTGGTACCTGCCTATAATCCCAGCACCTGGGAGGTTGAGGCAAGGAGATAGCAAATCGAGGTCACCCTGAGCTATATAGCAAGATACTGTCTAAATAGCCAACAAGTGACTTAACATGTTCTCTCTACCATGACTCCATTCCTATAAGTGTAAGCCAGGCAGCTGCTAGTTCTGTGGAAAGCTCTACAGGAGAATTGCCCAACATGTTGAGCATGGCTCTACTTGCTCCTCATTTCAAGCATTTGCCTCATTGCTTTACCATAGCCAATGACACCTCACCAAGTATTGGTCAGGAGGAGGGTGGGAACGGGTGATGGGTGGCTCAGAGTCCCACAGAAGCTCAGGTATTCAGGCAGGGCTGGCTGGTCAAAAGCTCAGGAACCCTGAGCTGCACACTCCTGGCCAGGCTAGTACCACTCCCACCAGCAGCCTCAATGGGCCTCTGACCTCTGTGCTTTCCTTCTAGGGAGTGTTTCCAGACAGCTGGAGAGAACAACGGTTTCCTAAGGCCTCCCTCCTCACCAACTGGCCATGCTGACCTTCCCTTTGGTGTCCACTATCCCTACTCTCCAGCTGTTCATCATCCTGCTCCTGGTGGTTTCCCTGAATGCTCACAATAAAAGTAGGTCTGGGTCTTCTGCCAGAGGGAAGGATGCAAGGGTCCAGACAGAATAGGAAGGACAAACCAAGGTTAGAGCCAGGTGATTACCGCCACCTAGCTGACTCAATACCAAGGATGGGCAGGAGGAATGGTGTCCCCTGGGCTACAGAAGTATGAACTGTGTATCTCTGAGGGTGGCTGACAGTGAAGGACCAGCAAAACTTGGAGTTGATGTCAGATCACCAGTGGGACTGCCCAAAACTACACCGACTGCAAGGGAAAGAGGGTGCCTTTGCCAGGCAATGAGGGCACCACATGACCGAGGACCTCCTCACCACATCTGGATATATTCAGCCTTGTCCAGCAGCCGAAGCATCATCTGTACCCTTAGGCCAGCAGACACTCAGGACAGTTGAGTGGGTGTAGAAAACAAGTCCCAGGGAGTTCCCCCAACACAGCTCTCCAGATCAAAAATCCCCAGTGACATCAGCACCATTCTGTTCCTTCCACACAGTGTGTGCCTATCTTTGGCCTCATCAGTGTGAAATATCTCATCCTGTCCAATCTGTGTGAAAGATATCATTCTGTCTCTCAGAAGTCCCGTCACCTGCCTCTGCCCATGGCCTGCAAGAGCAGCCAGCAACTGTCCTACAAACAGCTCCACCTTGCCCATATGTGATCATCCTCTCCACACAGGCTGGGACAGACCTATCTGCACCGAGGGCATCGTGTCTGTGCCTAGAGGCGATCCTGCAGTGATGACCTGTAACATCTCTAACGCCTTCACCGACATCACCATCCAGCTGACTGCCCATGGAAAGGAGGACAGGACCATCTTCAATAAAAAGCCCCAAGGAAACTTCTCTTGGAGTGGATGGGAGCTCCACGTTCAAGGAGGGCAGGCACAGCTTGTGATCAAAGACACCCAAGACGACCACACAGGGATATACTTGTGGCAGTTGCATGGATGCCAGAGATATTACAGAAACATCACCCTGAATATCTCAGGTGAGGTAAGGGCTGTGGAGCAAGGAGATGGGAGGGGATAAGGGCCAGTGTGGGGAGTGTGGCAGAGGCGTATGGTGACTTAAAGACGGGAAGGGGGCAGAGGGGAAGGCAAAGAGTTTGCTCTTTCAGAGGCGCTTAATCTGTCCTGAGGTGTGGAAAGGGGCTCCACTGTCCAGGGCAGAAGCCCATCTAGGGTGGGCCAGAAGAAGATACGTCTATCTCTCCCTGTCATACCCCAAGTCTCTCACACATCAGCTGTGTGGTTGTAACTGCACCCCAATCCTCTATGTCCTGAAGGTTTCCAGCAAAACCCGGCCACCATCTGGTGAAGGACACTCACACTATACCTACTACTGAGGTCATACAGAGGTCCACAGCCATGGCTATCTTAACTGAGGGTGGCCCAGTTCCTGCAGTACCCACATTGCCGTGAGCCTGCCGCCCTCCCCCTACATTCCCACCATGGAGGGTTGCCCTGGACTTTGAGCACCTTAAAGAAAGCAAGTTTACCCAAGTGAGATATAATTCCAGCACTTGGGAGGCTGAAGGGCAGACAATTGTAAGCTCAAAATAAGACTTGAAGAGCAATGTCTTTCCAGGCCTCCACCTTTCCCTGTGAGAACCCTCCTGTCTGTACCTGGACTCTCTCCCAGGACCCTTACTACTCCAGCCTCACTTCCTACCAGCTCCAGCTTAATTCCTGCCTCCTACCTCCTTCCTCCTGCCCCCTTCCCCTTGCCCCCTGCCCCCTGCCTCCTGTCCCTGCCTTCCCTTCTGCCTCTGCCTTCTCTCTTTTCCTTTTTCTCATTCAATTCTCTCTCTCTCTCTCTCTCTCTCTCTCTCTCTCTCTCTCTCTCTCT